GACAATTCAATTCAGGGACACTTGAAAACAAAACAAAAAGTTGGGCCCAACATCCAACATTGGCTTGATTTAGGGACACTTTTCTGAAAATTTCCCAAAAAATTGAAACATTCTACAGTATTTTTAATTTTGATATCTTCTGAACAAATCAAGCTACATGTATTTATATTCACAGGAAGTGAAAAGGATATTTCATGAAAAATTCACTCAAATTCGTAAGCAAAAGCAAGCTGATGTTGTGCTTCTTTTTTCAGAGTTTTATTTGATCATCTGCTGTTCAAATCCGGTACCCAACCAAAAGCCCCCCCTGCCAAAAGCCCCCCTAGGTCAAAAGCCCCCCGGAAAGCCCCCCTGCCTAAAGCCCCCCTAGGTCAAAAGCCCCCCCTGCAAAAGCCCCCCCACCACTTTTTTATAATTGGATGCAAGTTTTATAAAAGTGCTTGGTGGCCCTGAGATGGGCTATTTGGTTTCATCAGTCCTCAAAAGGACTGTTTAATAATCATCTTCAAAATTGCCTTCTGCTGCCTCTTCCTCACAGTCACTGATGCTCTCCATGTCATTTTCTTCTAAATAGCCATTGTAGTATGCAATTTGACCGCCCTTCTGATCATTGATGATCTGAAGTGCACCAGCCATTAGATCAACAAGGTGAACTGTAGATTTTGCAGAAGTCAGCAAGTGATGATGCTTTGACATTATATTCAAAGAATCACTGATGACCACTGCAGGTGAGGAATCCCTTCATATACTCAACTTACAAACATATTGGTACTTGGCCTTGTGCTGGGCCTGCTGGTGAAAGGTGCAGCTTACTATCAAGAGTTATAAGAATACCTGTAATCCCCAATTTTTGAACATAGGGGGGGGCTTTTGGCAGGGGGGGCTTTCAGGGGGGCTTTTGACCTAGGGGGGGGCTTTTGGCAGGGGGGGCTTTTGGACTACACCCTTCAAATACTAGCAAGACTTTTTCTTTTTCTTTGCTTTTTGATCTCCTTTGGTTACTAAAAAATCAGATTCTATGTGGTTTTTTTATGCACTGTTGTTTTCTACAACTTGAAGTTGAGGGAAACAATTTTGAAGTTGAGGGAAACTTGAAGTTGAGGACTTATATTTCTAATTTTTGACAAAAAGGAGAACCATTGAAATACATTATCAATGAAGTCTAAAGGAAAATGAGACTCAACTTAGGGACATTCTGATGTCAGGTCACTATTGATGCACCAATTACATTTGCATCTTGGGGTCTCACTGCTGGACAGGGAAAACAAATTGAGAGTCAAATGGAAAAATATTGAATCTGCGCATTTTTCCTAAAGGCTGTGACTCAATTATAAGTTTATTGTTTCCTGGTCCACCCTGTGCTGATTCATTCTATTCTATCGGAAAAAGAAAATACTTTTGTTTGGCAAATGGAAAAACATGGAATGTTGCGCTTTTTTTTTTTTTTAAAGGTGGTGACTTAATTGTTTGGTTATTGTTTCCATGGTCCAGCTGATTCATTTCTTTTCTGTTCGGAAGCTCGACAAACGGGAAAGTATTGAATTTTTCGAATTTTTCGCAAAAATGTTATCGTGACTCAATTTTATGGTTTCCTGGTCCACTCTGTGCTGATTCATTCGTTTCCCATACTAGGGGAAACAACACAAAAAGGAAGGAAGGATAGGTTCTTTTGGGTACGGGCTCGTGACTCCTTTTGGTCATGATGGGTCATCGTCGATTTTCAATCAATCCAGTGACGCAATACGCTGAAGCCCAAGAGTTTTCGTTTCTTCGGGATCAGGATGAAAGAGGTGCCAATAAATCAAGCGGTATTTCAAAACGAAACCCAAATAATATACTCTACGAAGTACCTATATAGCTCGGCGTACTGTACCTATTTTTTTCCCCATACATATTTTTCTTTGTTTTTTTTTACCTTCATACTTTTCGATATATATACATTTGAATTCCGATACTGAAAGAGAGAGAGACCTTCTGCCTATAGATTGTTTCGGATATGCAGAGACCTCGGCTCAGATAATCACATGTCGTTTTGTATAAACTCGAACGCCTTCCGAATGGGATTATCGGATTATAAAATGGGATCCCTGGCAGAACCCAGCCTCAGTTTCTTCTTCCTTTTGCTATCGAAAAGGGACCTGAAACTTCCCACTTTACAGCACTTGTCGTATATATATATATATATATACAACGAAAGCACCTGTTTTTTTTGAACGACAGTGTTGATAACAAGGATTGAATCAAATGTTTTCCAAGGTGAGTTTGTGTGAGAGTGTGAATATTATACCTGTACGAATTTTCACCCAGTTATACAATATGTTTTGTTTTTTTGTGGAAAGAAGTTTCAATGCAGGAGTTTGAAAATGTTGGGATATCTTTCAGTTTTTTTTTGTATTTTTGTAGACAAAAATTGCTGTTGTGTGGCATACAGTATTTCAAATCACTGAGTTATTGACATTCCAAAGTGAAAATGGTGTCTTCAGCTTGGTTAAAATGATGGTTCATGCAAAGTTTGGTTTTCTGAATAGTATATACAGGGATCAAATCCTGATCCAGTGCCAACACTTCTCCAAGTATATTTTTTGGAAATAAATCAGGGGTTTTGCATGTGAGAACAAGTTTGTGGAGGGGTTCTAGTGTGGGTAAAATAGGCTCATTTTTTGCAGAATGGTTTGGCAATGATTCTATTTTACAAGAGAAAAAGTCACAGGATCATCAAATTATTTGATGCTCAAATCCACTGTTTTCACTGCATTCCAATTTATCTAACAATATAGAGAATGTATTACATTTTTACACACATTGGGTCAAGTAAAAGAGTGGTTATAAAAATCATAACAGTGCATCCATCAGAGTGAAGTTGGGAAAATCCTGGCATATTTTTTAAATACTGGAGCAACGTGTTGCCCAAAAATGAAGAAAATCCATCTCCAAGGCTGAGCTTTTTTTTAATTTCATCCCTGGATTAGTCTTATTACTTTCAGATTCTTGGCCTTTTCATTTTGGAAACCAGAAGAAGGGTTCCCATTAAGAGGCCACAAAAGATAAGCCAAAAAAGTCAAACTTCGGGAAATCAAACAACACATTTTTGCCAGACAAAGTCCAACTTTGCCCTATATAGGCCACCTGGCTTGGCTGTCATGGCCTTCAACAGAATTTGAACCTGGGCCCACCCAACAAAATCCAGACTTTGTTTGGCAATAGGAAAGAACCCATTACTGCAAAAGGATAAAAATGAGATTTGTTGTAACAAGATTCTACTGTATTAGTTTATTGTCACCTGATGGTCTACCTATAGCTGTGCGGATGCATTTCTTTTCCTGATGGAGAATAAAATAATTTTGCTTGTGAAATGGAACAGTATTGAATCTTACGCATAATCTGTTTCATATTTTTCTATTTATGGTGAGACCCCAATTTCTGGACATCTCAACATATGGACAATTCAATTCAGGGACACTTGAAAACAAAACAAAAAGTTGGGCCCAACATCCAACATTGGCTTGATTTAGGGACACTTTTCTGAAAATTTCCCAAAAAATTGAAACATTCTACAGTATTTTTAATTTTGATATCTTCTGAACAAATCAAGCTACATGTATTTATATTCACAGGAAGTGAAAAGGATATTTCATGAAAAATTCACTCAAATTCGTAAGCAAAAGCAAGCTGATGTTGTGCTTCTTTTTTCAGAGTTTTATTTGATCATCTGCTGTTCAAATACTAGCAAGACTTTTTCTTTTTCTTTGCTTTTTGATCTCCTTTGGTTACTAAAAAATCAGATTCTATGTGGTTTTTTTATGCACTGTTGTTTTCTACAACTTGAAGTTGAGGGAAAAAATTTTGAAGTTGAGGGAAACTTGAAGTTGAGGACTTATATTTCTAATTTTTGACAAAAAGGAGAACCATTGAAATACATTATCAATGAAGTCTAAAGGAAAATGAGACTCAACTTAGGGACATTCTGATGTCAGGTCACTATTGATGCACCAATTACATTTGCATCTTGGGGTCTCACTGCTGGACAGGGAAAACAAATTGAGAGTCAAATGGAAAAATATTGAATCTGCGCATTTTTCCTAAAGGCTGTGACTCAATTATAAGTTTATTGTTTCCTGGTGCACCCTGTGCTGATTCATTCTATTCTAACGGAAAAAGAAAATACTTTTGTTTGGCAAATGGAAAAACATGGAATGTTGCGCTTTTTTTTAAAGGTGGTGACTTAATTGTTTGGTTATTGTTTCCATGGTCCAGCTGATTCATTTCTTTTCTGTTCGGAAGCTCGACAAACGGGAAAGTATTGAATTTTTCGAATTTTTCGCAAAAATGTTATCGTGACTCAATTTTATGGTTTCCTGGTCCACTCTGTGCTGATTCATTCGTTTCCCATACTAGGGGAAACAACACAAAAAGGAAGGAAGGATAGGTTCTTTTGGGTACGGGCTCGTGACTCCTTTTGGTCATGATGGGTCATCGTCGATTTTCAATCAATCCAGTGACGCAATACGCTGAAGCCCAAGAGTTTTCGTTTCTTCGGGATCAGGATGAAAGAGGTGCCAATAAATCAAGCGGTATTTCAAAACGAAACCCAAATAATATACTCTACGAAGTACCTATATAGCTCGGCGTACCTATTTTTTTCCCCATACATATTTTTCTTTATTTTTTTACCTTCATATTTATCGATATATATATACATTTGAATTCCGATACTGAAAGAGAGAGAGACCTTCTGCCTATAGATTGTTTCGGATATGCAGAGACCTCGGCTCAGATAATCACATGTCGTTTTGTATAAACTCGAACGCCTTCCGAATGGGATTATCGGATTATAAAATGGGATCCCTGGCAGAACCCAGCCTCAGTTTCTTCTTCCTTTTGCTATCGAAAAGGGACCTGAAACTTCCCACGTTACAGCACTTGTCGTATATATATATATATACAACGAAAGCACCTTTTTTTTTTTCAAACGACAGTGTTGATAACAAGGATTGAATCAAATGTTTTCCAAGGTGAGTTTGTGTGAGAGTGTGAATAATATACCTGTACGAATTTTCACCCATTTATACAATATGTTTTGTTTTTTTGTGGAAAGAAGTTTCAATGCAGGAGTTTGAAAATGTTGGGATATCTTTCAGTTTTTTTTTGTATTTTTGTAGACAAAAATTGCTGTTGTGTGGCATATTTCAAATCACTGAGTTATTGACATTCCAAAGTGAAAATGGTGTCTTCAGCTTGGTTAAAATGATGGTTCATGCAAAGTTTGGTTTTCTGAATCGTATATACAGGGATCAAATCCTGATTCAGTGCCAACACTTCTCCAAGCATATTTTTTGGAAATGAATCAGGGGTTTTGCATGTGAGAACAAGTTTGTGGAGGGGTTCTAGTGTGGGTAAAATAGGCTTATTTTTTGCAGAATGGTTTGGCAATGATTCTGTTTTACAAGATAAAAAGTCACAGGATCATCAAATTATTTGATGCTCAAATCCACTGTTTTCACTGCATTCCAATTTATCTAACAATATAGAGAATGTATTACATTTTTACACACATTGGGTCAAGTAAAAGAGTGGTTCTGTTTTTGCAGTTTTGTATCAAACTTTCAATGGTAGAATTCAATTCCAAAATCAGGTAGAGTGATTTTTAATTTTTTTAATGATACCATCCAAGTTATTGAGGGTAATCAAATGATTCCAAGCAATCACATTTCAATTCAGACATATGCTTTCAAAAATTATCCTGAGCAGGGATGGGCATGTGATACACAGTAATAAACTAATGATATCTTTGGGAATATGCCTTGATTTCTCTGATTTTGGCCTACTTTTCATTCAGGCAGAACATGTTTGTGGCACCACATGAGTTGACACTGAACTGGCGTTTCCCTTGAGAACACAATGGAGGCAAAATTTTACAGGAAAATATGTGGGACTATATCAGGGGTCAGTAAATTGAAGGTTGACTTGACCCATATTAAATGAATGCTCATGGTAAACTTTTGAGTGATTTACCAAATTGTATCCTTGTTTTTGCATTGAAAACAGCATTTATGTATTACAGGTATACTCTCCCTGTAAAAAAATTCAAAAGACCAGAAAAAATATGTTGCAAGGAGACTTTTGTCTTGGATGACCAGCAGTGTAACATTGGAAAGAACCCCATGGGATCAAACAAAAATGTTTATACACAGGAAACTTTTTGTAGAAAGAGTCAACCTTAAATTATTTATATTCTTTTGGTCTAATATTCCTACATATTGCTAGAGGGTTTTTTCTTTTCTGGGAATTATTGTTAAATTTGTTTAAATGGGATTTAAATTTTTGAAACTTTGCCATGAAAAATGAAAACCGTTTTGATGCCTTGATGGCATATGACTTCTATCAGTTATTGACTGATTAGCAGTAAATTGGTGACTAAATTTCAAAAAAAGGGAATATAAAAGGTATCAAACACTACAAAATGCCTTGTACATTTCTTAGTATAATGGGACAGTTCTGCCACCTTGGTTTCCTATTATTTGATGAAGAAAAGTAAAATTCTATGAGAGGCTAAAGAAATTCACGGATTGTAACCAAAACATTGCCTTTGTATACTGCTGCAGACAGGATTAGAGTAAGGAACTTTTTTGGTATGCACCATCAGCACCAATGACATGTGCATGATGGATTGTTTTTTTTTCTATGCAGCGTGAACACATGGCCAGAATGAAATGTAATTTTTAAGATTGAATAGTAATTTTTATAATTTTATAAAGATAATTCAAGATTAAAAAGAACTTTTAAAGGGATATTCAAATACTGTCTTATATACTAGTTATACATGAGATTGTGAAACTATCAAGAAGTCCAACCACTGAACAAAGATGTGTTGTTAAAAAATGCATGTAAATGTTCACCATGCCTTCCATTCCTGCAACTATCAGTATTATATTCTGGATAATTAGATAATTAGAGGGGAACATAGTGGCTCATGATGAAATTGGAAAGACATACATACTGCTCTGAATCAGTTCCAAAGCTAAATTAATTGAAGCATGCTACTAAATTTTGATTCACATCCAATGAAGCACAGTATTATGTTCTGGATAATTATATTATTTTAGAATGGAACATAGGGACTCATACTGAAATTGTGAACAGTGAGTTTATTGCTCTTAATCAGTTTAAATTTAAAAGCTAAATTAAATTGAAGCATGCTGCTGAAGTTTGATTCACATACAATATTATATTATATTCTGTATAATTAGATGAGTAGAGGTGAACATATAGTGACTCATACTGAGTTTGTAAAGACTAATTTAATTGCTTTTAATCAATTTAAATTGAAAAGCTCAATAAATTGAAGCGTGCTACTGAATTTTGATTCACTTCCAATGAAGCACAGCATTTCAATCTTAGAAAAATTAGACAGGAATACTAGGCAATCATTGCTCATTGAATATATAGGAATAAAATTTCTTGTGCAATGATAAATGACTTATATTTACAGGTGAGTGCGCTAGTGCTGGTGGCAGCCATCTTTTTGCCAGAATGCACTCCAGCCCCTGATAAGAGACCAGAACACAGCTATGGACCTCCAGCACCAGCACCACCATACCAAAGCCCTTATGAAACCCAACAGCCATCAGTTCCTGTGGGCCAGTCCTCAGTTCAAGCTAGTCTACCAGGGGCACAGTACTCTTACCAATTCCTTCCTCAGCAGCAGACTCATCATGAGCAGCAGCAAAAAAACCAAGCTACTTCAGAGTATCAGGGAGAAAAGGTGTCCAAGGAAGAAACTGAAAAGCTGCATGCATCTGCCATTGCACAGCAGAAAGAACTTGAGGCTCAGCTGGCTGCCTTGATTAGTGGAGGTGGTAGCAAGNAAGTTTCTCAGCACAGGTGTCTGAACAGAGTCCTGGTGGTTACTTGGTTGCTTACACACTTCCTGCTGCTGGCATTCAACAGGTATAAAAGTCATTCTCATCATACAATGTTGCCTCACCTAACAAAAAAAATTGGTTCCAGCACTGTGTTTTCTATATAGGCAGATTTTTTGTTAGGTGTGCCAAGCTTTCCCCAACAGATTAAATTAAAGCCCTACTAGTTGGTTTTTGGAGAACATTTTCATGGGAAAATTTACAAATTATGATTGCGTGAGAGAGAAGATTTCAGTTCCTAATGTACATAGTGTGTCATTGTAAGGCTCATCAAAATGTTCCCACTTTTCTCTTTCAAATTGGAAACCATGTACCTTATGCACATGAGACATCTTTAATGACAACAGCAGTAACCAATGCAGGTTGAAAAAGTTGCATAGTTGTCACTTCTGCATCAATTACAATGCTTTGGTGGGTACTCACACATTTCCAACTAGTGCAAAATTTGATTACTGTATTCATAATCCAATGCAATTTGGACCTTGATAACTTGAACCTCCCTGAGCAAAGAAATTTTTAAAGTCCCCATCTGAATTCCCTTTGAAACAATGCATTATAAACCTCTCAAACTGGAAGGATTTTCCTCTGAAGCCTCCATAACTTAAATTTTCTGAGGCCTTCTGGCTATTTTCTTGATACAGGAAAGAGAAAAGCAATAAAATGTAACATTGATGCATTTCAAAAGGAAGTGAAAGACTAATTTGGCAAATAATGGAACCTTGAGTCCAAGTTAAGCATCCTGTCAACTCATTCCAGGAGTAATTTAAGGCTAGGAATATCATAACTACAATTCCTTGAAATTGTATCTTTCCCATGCAACCAAATGCTTGTTTCCTCAAAATGGAAACCTCCTTAACTCATTTTTTTCCTAGTCCTTAATTGAAATTTATCTTGTTGAGATTTGATTCTAAACAAACATTTACAAAATTAATTGTAACAAAAATGGACTTTTGATCCATAATATATGCATAAAAAAGTAGAACCACAAAAAAGTTTCAACAAATTCAAGGTCTGAAATAGTGATTTTGTACTTTTTGTTGATGAAAATCATGCCTGCAATTGCAGGTCCATCAGACATTTTTTAGGCAAGACACAGTTCCTTAGGCAATTTTTTTTTTAATTTCCTTGGGGTTTTTCAACTGAGGAACCACTATGCTGCATTCACTGCATAAAACAATGGGGAATCATGCATGTTACATATATTGAATATTCTGTATATATAGGGATCAGCCCAAGTTCAGCAAACAGGAAGCTTGGGTTATTCTGCAAGCCAGCAGGCTGCCTCTTCCTCCAGCAACCAGCAACATGTTGCTTCTAGCAGCAGCCTTGGGTCTTCGAGCACTCATCAGCAGTCAGGTTATGCTGTCCAGGTGTCACAGGAAGGACCAGGAGTAGCTGTTAATTACGCCCTACCAAGTGCTTCAATTTCCCAATCTGCAGCATCTGGTGTAGTGACCGAATACAAGGGAGAGAAAGTTACTAAGGAGCAGACTGAACAACTGCATGCTGAGGCAATCAAGAGACAGCAAGAATTCACCCAACAACTGACTTCAGGGGTGTCTCAAACTGTTTCCAATTATTCTCCAGAAGACTCCCAGGATCGCAAGGAGGAACAAGAGTTGCTTGATAGGCAAAACCAAGAAGTTCTGGAACAAATTGCTGTGAGTTGGCTTGATAGATATATATATGCTTTATTTGCATATATATATCTATATATCTAAGGGTTTTGCCAGTCTGCAGGAAATTTTCTTCAGCAAAATAAATTTATCAAAAGTAGTAATGAAGTCTGTTGTCTTTATCTGATTTTTTTTGGAAAGACAATGGCATTAGCTGGAATTGTCTGATGGAAAATAAAATTTGGATTTTTGCCTAAAAACACTTTAGAAAAAATTCAACTGCTAGTGAAATCAATTATTTTCAATGTTCTTCCTGAGAAAACTTTCTTCAAGCCCACCTTTCTAATCTTTTGAAGACATTGCACTATTGCTGCTTCATTTCTTTTTAGCTCAATTTTTGCAAAAAGCAGAATCTTTAAATACCTCATGTGAAGTCTTTCAAACAATATTTTTTCAAGTCTGCAGAAAATTTATGAAACTTTGCCAGGGCAGAAAATTGTTTTTTTTAATTTGCCAGTCTGCAAAAACCTGTATGAAACTTTGCTGGTCCTTGGGCCAAACAGGCTGGTAACACTGATATTAAGCACAATGAATTCAGCATATTCCCATATAATGATAATAAATGGAGTGAACATTTTGGAATTAATTTTTGAGGATAAATCATGTATAGCAGTGTGTTTTTTTTTTTTACATGTGAACACACCATTATCAGTGCTGAATGCTGAAAATCATATCCTAAACTGTGTATTTTTCAATAAATATAGCTTGCAAAGGCCCAGGGTCAAGAAGCAGAAGCTCAGGGGAAGCTTGAAGTGTCTTCAGGCAGTGCATCCTTGTCTGCATCAGGAGGCTCTCAGAGTTATCAGACTTCATCAAGCAGCATAGCCTCTTCTGCAGGAGCCTCTCAGGGATATCAGACTTCAGTCTCCAGCTCACTTTCAGCTTACCAACCACCTGCACTCACTCTTAGAACTGTGAGTTGAACAAGAGTATTATGTTTCAGCTATTTCTGGTAGATATTTGATGGTAGAAGTTCTACTATTGTGCAATAAACATTTAAGACCATGTCATCTAACTTATTACTGCTCATGCAATGTACTTCAAACCAATAATTTTTAGCATGCTTCAAATGAAATACAGTGAGGCCCCCAATGTAAGTGGAAATAAATATGGTGCTTGGATCTTGTCCCTATATATTGAAACGTCCACAGGTTGAATCATGTTTTCCCATTGACTTCAGGATAAGCATATTCAATTGGTTCTCCAGCTCATCAAAAATGAGGAATAGATCTCTTAAAATTGAATAAAATGTTTTTCTCTGCTTGGAGATGCAGAACATGACTGTGCAGAAGAAAAGTATAAAACCATGCCAAATCTAATCATTGGAAATCAAAAAGACCCCACAAAGCTAAGAAGAAGTACTATTGCCTTGTTTTGCTGAACACATATGATGGAGAATTTGCCAAAAAAAGAAGCACAAAATTTACCTGTTTTGATTATGAATATGAGTAAATAAAAGAAAATAATTTTCAATATTTTGAATGTAATGCCTCAATTTCTTCGAGATATCCAAACTTTTAAAAATAAGAATTTTTCTAGAAATTTCAGAAAAGTGTAAGTATGTTTTAAAATTTTCTGGATGTTGGGGCAGATTTTGTAAAGTTTCAAAAGTTCCTATGTCACATTTTCCATAAGTCATGGTGGATTCCCTCTGTAAATAATGGTCATTAAACATGTGACCTAGAAAATATTTGTAAGATTTTTTAACATTTCTAAACCTGCCTGTACCTTGCATTTTCTCTTTAATTAAAACTTAAACTTAATATACTTTCAAGTGCACTTTACCAACGTTTGATTAAGCAGCAATATTTTACAAATTATGAGAGAAAATTGTGTGATTACTTCACTGTTTACTTGATACAAATGACATAAACATTTGAAAGTAGACATCCTAGAATTGATAATATTCTTTCCTCAATTTTAAAACTGTTTTCAGGTGTATAATTTACACATGTCTACCACAATATAACTACCATAAAATACAAGTTGAATGCATACATTTTCTCTGTACAAGAAATATTTTGTGGTCCCTTTGGGTTTTTCCCCATGTTATAGGAGTTCTCTACAATAAAATTCTCTCCACAAAAATTAATTTTTCTTCTCACTTGAGCTTTGTTGTATGAGAGAGAGAGAGAGAGAGAGAGAGAGAGAGAGAGTCCACCTTTACTGAAATAGGAGTCAGATTCATCTTTCATTTTACTTTATGTCAAGTTTTTACTTTGAACATGTTTCTATGTTTGTGTGCATTTTAACTCAGTCCAAACATTGTTGGGCAATTTGTGACCTTTTTTGTTTCAGCAGCAACAAGAGCAGCAACAGCAGAAATACACAGGCCCCTTAGTGAGCAAGGAAGAAACAGAAGCCCTTCATGCAGATGCCATCAGTAAGCAGCAGGAGATCATCTCATCTTACAAAGCTTTCATCAATGAACAACAACAAGGAGGATCAGCAGCAGTAGCTCAGCAGCAAACCTTCTCATCCCAAAGCTCCCAACCTCAGCAGCAGTACTCATTCAGGACAATAAGTCAGCAGCAATTCCAGCCAGGACAAGTTCAAGCTATGCTTGGGGAGATCTTACCCAATGGAGCAGGCATCCGGATTATTGGGCCTGTTGTGACCAATTATCTTCCCTCTGGGTAAGATTGAAATTACAATCATCACAATGAATGAAATTTGAAGCATTGGTGCCTCAAACAGTCAACCCTGATGAGTTTAATACTGTGAGGCCTTCATAGCAGCAAACATGTTACACAGAATACAACTTGCATTTGCCCACCATTTTGCCCTGATACAAACTTGAGTTGAAAATGGAACCTAATAGCCAAGTAAGAACTGAGAATTGAACATGAGAAGTGAACTAAATGGCAGGTCCTCTCTCATTTTTTACACTGCATTAAGAATATCTAATTATTATTGAAGTTAGCTGTACTGTATTAGTATAGGAATTACTTTTTTCTTGCAATCCAAAAAGCATGCTTTAATGTTTCATGTGAATTTGGGAGTTGGGTTCAGAAAATTTGTTTCTGTACAGTGAAAAATAGACAAATTTTGATAAATGAGGTTTCCACTTATATGTGGGATCTCTTTGAAGTAAGCAAAGAGTTTTAAAGATTTTAGGGGGATTCTGTTTTTGTTGCATAGCACAAAATCCATAGTTCCAAATGGGGCCCACATGGATGAATGGGTTCAATGATTTCCCATGCCTTACCATGGGAAATTGTGTCAAATAAGAACAAAAATGCATTGAACAATGATTACTGTTGGAACCAATTTTGTTTGTTGCTTGAGGTCCCATTGCATCAGGCTCTTACTCTGGGTGATTTCTTATATGATACACAAGTGTCATTGGCAAGATTAGCATTTGACCCAAGTCAAATTGTCTGCAGCCAACTTTCATTTGGCTGTAGATTTAGATCCAGTTGGAATCTTTTGTTGTTGTTTTTGCATGAATGCTCATATATTGTTCATTATGATCTTTTTTCTTCCAAGGCATACATAATTGAGACCCCAAAATGTGGATGTAAATGGTGCATCAAGAGTGTTCTGATGTTGGAATGTCCATAAGTCAAGTCTCATTTTCCCTTAGACTTCAATGCTAATGTATTTAATTGGTTCTCATTTTTTTCGAAAATTATAGATAATTCCTCAAAAAATATTGATAAAAATGATTTTCCTAAACTTCAAGTTGTAGAAAACAATATTGAAAACCAACTGCAGAGAATCTGATCTCTTGGTATCAAAAGCAGACCAAAAAGCAAAGAAAATTAATAGGCATTGCTTATA